TATACCAGTTATACTGGGTCAATTTCTGCAGGACATATATGGATAAATTGTAACCAATCTTAAGGGAACTCCTTCCTTGGTGACTGGAAGCCTCTGTGGAGTCACCACAACAGATAGAAAATGGTTTTAGATGTAAAAGGATCAAAACCTTAGTTCTGTTTCTATTCAGATTTTTTATTTGAATTAAAAACTGGATTGTTTTACATGACAATCCCAGTTCCCTTCTCCCTCCCATCCTCCCCTACCACCCCCCCCCAACAAAAACCCTACCTGTCACATATCCTTTCTGCTCCCCCTGGTTGGTGAGCCCTTCCATAGGGGGTCATCAGAGTCTATCGTATCCTTTGGGATAGGGCCTAGGCCCACCCCCCTGTATCTTGGATCAGGGAGTATTCCTCTGTATGGGATGGGCTCCCAAAGTCCACACCTATGCTTGGGATAAGTCTTGAACTACTACAGCAGGTCCTGTAGATTTTTCGGAGGTTTCCTCACTGAAACCCATGTTCCTGGGGGCTGGATCAGGAACCAGGATTGATGCTGGTATTCCAGCTATCAATCTGGGGACCAAGAGCTCCCCGATGTTCAGGTCAGCTGTTTCTGTGGGTTTCACCAGCTTGGTCTGGACCCCTTTGCCCATCACTCATTCTTCTCTGCAACTGGATTCCAGTTCAGTTCAGTGATTAGCTGTGGGTGTCGGCTTCTACTTCCACCAGCTGCTGGATGAGGGCTATTGGGTGGCATATAAGTCAGTCATCAATCTCATTATCAGGGGAGGACATTTAATGTAGCCTCTCCTCTGTTGCTTAGATTGTTAGCTGGTGTCATATTTGTAGATCTCCAGACATTTCCCTAGTGCCTGATTACTCTGTAAACCTAAAATGTCTCCCTCTATTATGGTATCTCCATTCTTGTTATCATCTATTCTTCCCCTGACTCAACCTTTCTGCTCCCTCAAGTCCTCCACATCCCTCTTCTTCTCCCCTTCTCATTCTCCTAGTTCCTTCCCCCCTCTTCCCATGCTCCCAATTTGCTCAGGGGAGCTTGACCCTTTCCCCTTCTCCACGGGACCATATATGTCTCTCTTAGGGTCCTCCTTGTTTACTAGCTTTTCTAGCAGTGTAGATTGTAGGCTGGTAATCTTTTAATCTATGTCTAAAATCCTCATATGAGTGAATTCATATCATGTTTGTCTTTTTGTGATTGGGCTACCTCGCTCAGAATGGTGTCTTCTAGTTCTATCCATTTTCCTGCAAATTTCAAGATTCCATTGTTTTTTTTCTCCTGAGTAGTACTCCATTGTGTAAATGTACCACATTTTCTCTATCCATTGTTCATATGCATCTCAGACTGGCCCCATAGTAGACCCTCTTACCTCAACCCCAGAGAGCTGGGATTATATGCCTGCACCACTACATGTAAGCCACAGGTGTAGTTTTTTTATGACTCAATTGCAATTGTTCATATTGCCATAGTGTTCAGAGGTACAGGACAGAGGAAACAGCTATCTAAGCAACACTTGTCCCAAAGGAAACATGACTTAGCATTCATCTTAATGGTTTTGATATTCTATGTACATCCATAGGGATGGAAAAAGGGCCTGTTTCCTGTGCCTTCTGCCTTCCCTTAATGTTGGAAAGACTGAAGTTTTGCATGTGGTGTAGTGCTTACTTTTGCATGTCTGTTACAGGATTTATACAAAATAAAGTTGTATTTCTTTGTCTCTCTTGCTCACTAACCAAAGGCAACTGGGGAAGGAGACCTTTTATTTGAGTTACCAGTGGCAGTCCATCAGCCAGGGAAACCAAGGCAGTGTCCTAGAGGCAGGAGCTGAAGCAAAGAGTGTGAAGGTGTGCTTCATGGTCTCTTGCTCCGTGGCTTGCTCATTGAGCATGCTTTCTGTATTGTAACAGTAATTTTATTTTCAATTAAAATATACTCACATCCTTGATCCCCTCTTCTCTTCAACCCTTCCAATCCATCCAAAATTTCATGCCCTCTTTTTTATCATTGCTGCCTTTATATGTATATGTGTATATATGTATATGAAACAATAAGTAAATGAAGCCAGCTGTGTCCATTTAATCTTGCTTGTATGTATATGGTTTTAGAGCTAACACTATGCATTGGATATTGGACATTCGTTTAAGAAGTTCATTTCTAGAGAAAACTAATTACTCCTCTTTCAGTAGTCCTTAATGCCCAGAGTTTACATCTATCCCTATTATACACCAAGTATCAAACTGCCATGGGTTAGTCTTGCACAGTGGGTTGTGATTTCTCACATCAATGAAGGAAATGACCCACAGACTTGACCACCGGCTAATCTGGATTGAGGAAATTCTTCAATGGAGGAGGTTCCCTTTCACAGATATCTCTATCTTGTGTTATATTGGAAAGAAGAGCAAACACAGAATGAACAGTGACCAAGACAGAAAATCTCATTGGCTTACAAGTAAAGACAAGAAAGATTTGTTTGGCCTAATAAGTATCCAAGGTCTCAGGCCACTCTGGCATGTAAGTGTAATTCCTGCCTCTTGACCTTAGAGTGACCCAGGAGGAAGGGATTCATAGAAGCAAGAGGTATGGATAATGTCCTCCAAAGAAACATCCTCAGGGTCATGCTTTTCCAATCTATCCCCTATATAGAAATGTCTTAGAAACTCTTAAAATAGCTTAAGAGATTTTTGTGGACTAAGATTTAGTATCCAGAGAGAACCTACAGGAATTATTACCTATTCAAATGATAGGAGTCTAAAGAATAAAAAGTCATCTATGGCATCCCCTTATACTTTCTATGAAAAATCAATGACTTCCAAAAGCAGTGCATTTGAATACAACACCCAGGATTAAATGTATGAGACCAAATATTTTTTACAAAAGAAAAAGTTGTACCTGTAAATTGTCAGACAAGAAATGAATGACTCTGAGTATAAAGCTGAGTAGGGACCATCCCTCACCCCACATTCATTAAAAGATCCCTTCAAAAAGTGTGGCTTGTCACATCAAGTTCATCATAGTTGCTTCAAGTTTGTCCTTGCATAAATTGTCATGTCCGCATTCAGCCTCATAGTTTTCAGTGGAATCTTCAGCCTCTTTCTCTGTTCTGATTTTCTACTGGAAGGAACTCATCCAAGTTACAGAAAGATTTATGGAACATTCATGCAACTGTGAAAGTCAACAAAGATACTCATCAACATGTTTGGCTTTGCACAAGTAGGACATGCATAGCAGGTTTTATATTTTATCATAGTAATGTTTCAGGCCCATTACAGGCAGCTGGCTACAGATTCTTGAATTTGTAATACTTAGAAGTTTACTGCATTAGTAATGATTCTTAAAAATGACTACGTGTAGCACTTGGAAATACTCAGACAATAATAGTATTGCATATCAAGGTACAGAGAATTCTCTATAGGTGTTGCAGTTTCTCCTGCCCAAAAGCTGGAATTAACTGGGGACAGATTGCATTAGAAACAGGAAAACCGATGCAAGTCAAAGAAGGGAGAGAGCAACAAGGTAGGCTTCAGCAATTCTAAAGATCCTGTTGTGCAAAGGATGTAGTGTTTTCTGTCATCCCTTAAGCTGTTGGGTTCATTGCCATTTGTGAGCATTTTCTCTATGAGTGGGGGTGGGGATGGGGAAGCATCTGCATGACTTGCTTCCCCATGCTTGTGGAGTGCAGAGACCTGTGTTCTTACTCACATTACATTGGGCTATTCATTGGTGCAACTTTACTAAAGGGTGCTGACATGTTCTGCATATGGAGTTTCCCCATGGTACAGGATAAAGGAAGGTTCCTCACTAAAGTATTCAATCTTCATATCAGAGGCTCAAAACAAAAGAAACAATCACTGACATGCAGATGTTGAACAGTTTCCAACAACAATGACAAAATGTGCTCTAGGGTATCTGCTTCCCAGTTCTGTCAGAAAAACTTATGACTCCATGTGAGTAACATTAGTGACAAGACCTTGTAAAGTATGTTCAAACAACACTAAAATTTATTAAGTAAAACTTCATAAACATAGATGCACAATGTACAATTAACAGAAAAATTAAATTCAAATTTGTTATGTAAAATAAAGCATGGTTTTATTTGCATCATAAATAATAGGTACCATTAAATCAATAGTAATAGTGGACATTGGGTTGGAGAATTATATATGTATATATATGATGAAAACATTTAATTTTAGCTTAGTATATACAGAGAAAATATATTAAAAGAAATATAACTTTAAATTGAATATCTCTTGGAAGAAACACTTCATTACTGCACTCTCAAGGCTGAAGCGGATATTAAAGGAGACCTTAGATATAAATATATATTTAGCATTGTAAGAACTTCCTTAGAATGCAAAGAGTAAACAGATCTTCTTATTTGGGACCAGGAAGTGATTTGCAATATCTGTGTCATGTTTAGAAATATTCCTAGCTGGGTTGAAATGTTTCTAACTGGGCAGAGTCCAGCATCACCTGGACAGTGTCCAAGAATAATGGGAAAGACCTGTAGTGCCCCACATTAGGACAACTAGCCTGATTGGCAGTAGAGACTGGCACTTAGATTGGGCATTCCTTACAGAAATAAACAGTTTAAACAAAAAGTTGATATTCAAACATTAAATATCAAGGAAATTAACAAAAACCAATTAACAAAAAATTATGAACAAAACCATGAAAATTGAAAAAAATTAAATAATTGAAAACAGAATTCAACATTAACGGAAGACACAAAATCTTGAAAGTAGCATGCTTATCCGCATGTTATAATGTGTGGGTTTTGTGTTGCTAGCATGTAGTAAGCACATACATATTATAGATTTCCCCAGATGCAGCTCTTCTTTGCTGCAAGTTAGCAGTACATGGAAGAGTGTTGGGGAATCACCCACTTTTTACAGCCCAGAATATGTTTCAAGGCTCTTCAAGCCAAGTTGCCTGAAGTCCCTGGCAGCATCTATAAAAGACTGCAGAGCAGCCTCAGCAGCCAGCGGGTGCTGCTGTTACAGTAAGCGCTTATGCAGGATTTCCCACACCATCTTCTTCCTAAACAGAGGCACATGCTGCTGAGAGAAGGTTATGGGTTGGCCTCTAGAAATATAGTCTGCATATTTACAGGTAAACACTCCACAATCGTTCCTATTCAGCTGCAAGGAATCTCCTCTGCCGACATGCTTTTCGGCATTGCTTCCAATCCAAGGGGTCCAGATCTATACTCCTCTTCACTTTGGTCTCTTGCAGGTACTGGAAAATCAATCCCAGGACACCAGGTCTTTTGAGTCCCATGGAATCCCAGTAGACAATGGTCTTCTTTCGTAGGTCTATGACCACAAGACTCCAGTGGACATGTAGGTGTACCGGCACGAGGACAATGTCCTTTTCAAAGATATTCACAGCCCGGGTCCACCTTTTCACAGACCTGTATCCCCCACACTTGAGTTTCGTATAGAAGAATGTATTAAAGGTGTGAAGTGAGGCATAACCTGGTGATTTGCTCCTGTGTGTGAGTAGGTTCATGTAAAAATTTATGATGTCATCATTAAGCCACTGGCTTTCCCATAGAGTCTGCATGTCTCCTCTGGTGATGTTCAGTTTAAATGCACTGCTTAAGATGTCCTCTTGTGGCCCTGGACCGAGTGCATTCATGATTTCCTGCTCCATGTCAGGTGTTATTTCAGGGCCATGGTCTTGGCTGCTGCTCTTCTCTTGCTCCTCAAAAAGCTCCTCCTCGGCCTCAGGCGTTAAAGTGTTCTTGTGGAAGATGCCACTGGTGTCACTATTTTTGGAGTTTGGGCCCTGAGCTCCTCCCAGAATGTCAGGCTGGGGGTGATGTCTTGTTCTCTGGTTTTCATTTCTTTTTTGTTTCAAAATGAGTCTGTGGTGAATAGCTCTTTTCAGTTGTGACTGGTGAATGGTTTCTTCTGACAGGATGTCTGGATTGATTTGGCTGGAACTGAGTTGTTTCACAGCCATGAATATGTTCTTCCATGCAGCCTTTGATGTTCTTCAGGTTGTCAGCAGGTCTTGTGTGAGTGCTGGGAGGGCCAGAGTGGACAGGATCGCAGGGTTGAAGATGGTCAGACAACCTTCTGCACTTTTCATTGTGCTGTTTCTCAACTCTGTCCTGTATGTTGGAATAAGTGCGCTTGCGACTCTTGTCAGCACCCACGTATTTCACCTCAATGACATCCTCTTCTTCAGGGTCTCTGACCCTGTCTTGGTTTTTTGGATGCAATGGACCCTTGTCCATGGGGTTCATTCCCTGACGATTTTCAGTCTTTTTGGAAAATTCTGTGGCTCTTCAGATTTCTCATCAGTTCCTCCTTCCTCCTGGCTCTTTCTTTTTTGAAGTTTCACTCCATGTTTTGGACACATGGTACCAAGCTGCTGCTTAGGTTGCCAATTCGAGGAAGGGCTTGGCTTTCTGTTGGTCAGGCACAGGCTGTCTGCTTGGTAAGAGCCTTTAAATTTCCACATTGACGTGCAGGTTAGCCTGGCTCTTGTTGAATCCTGTTGGGATATTGTTGTATTGATATCTGATAGATCAGTTACTCCACTAGGAGTCATTTTATCCTCTCGAGACATTTTGGTTAAAGTTCAGAAATTACAGTGTAAAGTACTAGATGTCCTCTTTAGCAGTGGAGGTACACTTTTGGTGTTGGAGACAGGAGGAAAGTGACACCAGATGAATGTGACAGGATGGAAGTGAACCTTTAACTCACTGAGGCCATCAATTAATTCTTGTCTCTCAGGAGGCAGTTCTCTAGTAATTCCACCGTAAACAGTTCGATGGTCTTAGTGCAACCATCTTGTCTTTTAGGAAAAGTGGGGCCTCCAGAAGGCAATAGACCTCTGGAGAAACTGAGATAATCATTATGAGCTTTGTAGCCAGTAGCTCCAAGGCATAAGTCCTTGGCAGCACAGTCAATGAATTGAAGGCAAGTCTGTTTGCCTCACTGTTGCCCTGGCTATGAGTCTGATGTTCTATATTGGGTTGTGATGCGGTTTGATGCTTCATGACCGCATTCTATAGTGAGAACAGCCCCTACCCACTGTCTTCCATGACAAGGTCCTTTTTGGTGACTTTCATTTTGAGATAGGGTTTCTCTGTAACAACCCTTGCTATCCTAGAACTCACTTTGTAAACCAGGCTGGCAGGAAACTCACAGAGATTCACTGTTTTTGCATCCTGAGTGCAGGAAGTACTATGTATGCCACCACTGCCAGCCACTTGAAGGGTCTTAATGCTTCTTTCCATGCTTTAAGTTCCTAACAGTGTCAGTTAAAACTTAATGGTGAAGAATTGTAGCTCTGTCTTCAGAAATGGATAAATTATTGAGAAGAACAGTAGATTCACTACACTTCATTTTTCTAAAATGCTAAACCTAGGAGATATGGTTCCATCCTTGGAACTATTTAGACACATCTCCTTTCTTCTCTTCTGGACAGAACATTAGGCTCAGTTCACCTATACATCCATAGAGCTTCAGTTTATTTTGGAAAAGCATGACTCAGGCAGTGTCTGTTCATTCATGTAGGCAGAATCTAAGAGCCAATGCAGAGTCACCTTACCCGGTCCTCCTAGCCATGAGGTTACAGGTACTGGATCAAGGTGAATCTGGCTTAGCTACACACTGAGTGATTATCAATTCCTCACAAAAATCAGTGAAAACAAAGGGGAGAAGCTTTTGATTTGATGGTCCACCGAGAAGTGTCGGTTGTTTGTTGTCTCGTCATAAACTAACTTATCCCATGATCATGCTGCCTCTTAGGGAAGAATCTGCTTTGTGTTACTGTTTTTAGTTATAGAAAACAAAATATAAGTATTATTTCCTGACTTGGAGTCTAATGCTTCTAACATTAGGGGATGAAATTTACCCAAAAAGGAAATTTCCACTATACTGGTGTATTTCCTCTCAATATTTCTAGTGAGTACAAATAAAGTTATAAGTGTGAGACCTAGTGGACACCAATTACCAACGATGTATACATTAACAACATTAATGGGGTAATCAGCATTCTGTTGAACCCTGTAGGCTGTGTTGAGAAAGACACAAAGTATTGCTGTGACAATACTGCTAATGTCATTAATCATGAATCTATCCCTTAGAAAACACTGGGAAGAATTCAAATGAAGGACATTATTAAAAACATAAAGCAGATGTGGTTATACCTGTAATCTAGCACTAAGAAGACCAGGCAAGAGGATATTTTCCAGAATAGTGTCTTGTAGACAAACGAGAGAAAAGGTATAGTATCAAATCTTTCTTGACGTAGAGACATTGGAAGGTTGGGGAACAATGCATTTTTAAATCATTATGTCTGTATTCTGCCATCTAGAAAGCTGTTTAAAAATTAATTAATGATGCTGGTACAATTACATATTGGAAAGGTAACAGCATTAAGGAATACTTCACAATATATACTGGTGTGTTCTGCTTTCATTTAAAATGTGCTTGCTTGGATGAATGAAGCCTCTGCTGGTCATTTGTTACAGAGTCAAGCCTTGCACTCGAGTCATCCTGGTGAACCCACAACATACATGGATAGTATTCCACAGGCCTAGAATGATGCTTTGGCCTGGTCCCTCCCACCGGGCCACAAAGCACTCGAATAGTAGCAAAGAAGGGAGACCAGCTAGACTGAGTTCAGCCATTGCAGGTTTTTGTCTTCATGGCTCCAGTGGAAGGATGAGGCAGCTTGTGAGAAACCAACAGAAGGTTCTATAAAGTGCTCAGAGTTCAACAGAAGAGAGAAGATTGGTTATGTATGCATCTGCCCAGACTTGTGCCTGATCAAGGACTGTTTTATGGTCCTAGGGAGAGGACTAAGACACATTCGGTAGGGTAGGCAGTCATAGCTCCTGCAGATACAAAAGGCTCATTTGTACATTCATATGTAGAAAACAGAATGGCTATGAATGTCACTTAACACATTTAAACTGTACTGTCATGTGAAGGGATGTTACAGACAATTAGATATTTCTCACAGCCTCAATATTCTTCAGTCTAACACTCTCCCAACTGAGCTATTTCAGCAGATAAGCCTCACTATTCTTGACTGCGGTTCTAATACTGGAAAAATCTTGTTAAATGAAGGCGCTTTCCTATGATTCCCAGTTATAGCACACTCCTTCTGATCCATACACTGCCTGGTATTTTGTGGAGTAAACCTTTATATTTAAGTGGCACTTGGTATCTTCTGTTTTTGTTTGTTTGTTTGTTTGTTTGTTTCATCTTTGAACTGAGGTTTTCCCATCAGAATTGTAAGTGAGCAAATACTTGGATGATTTCCTTGGATGTAAGTAATAAATCTCAGTAAATAACCTATGTCAGTTTCGTTTGCCTTTTTACTATTGCAAAGGGAAAAACATGGGATAAGAATATTTGGAGTGAGAGACCTGGGGTTTGAATGCAGAGCACCTTGCATGATAGGAGTGCACTCTACCACAGCCTTTGTTATCATTGTGAAATGAATAATTTCATTTTAAATAGACAATTCCCAACAAAGAATTTTAATATCTTATTCATTGGATTCAAATTTAATAATCGATTCACCTGTGAACTTCTCACTGTCCAGCAGTGGGTAGCACAACAACAGGTAAAAGATATTTTGTGACCTGCTCCTGGTCTGCTGTTGATGACTGTTGAACTTTGACAGAATAGAAACTTTTATAAATACATAGATTACAAACACATACACATTCGCACACAAGTAGCCTTTCCTTTGTAGCATTTGGAAAAAGAAAAGGAATATCCTATGACCTGAAAATTGATTCACAGATAAGATAGAAGGTGTGGGCCAGTTGTGTTTGTTTGTCAATTTTTAATGTTTGCACTTTGTGGTGAAATTCTTGAAGAGCCTCAGTAAAGACAGAAGAAGTGTGTCTTTCTAAGGTTTCCAGTCCCCACTTTTTTTTTTTTTTTGATAACTTTTAGCCTGTGGCTCTTTTGCCTATTTTGGTGACTTAATTCTCCCCTCTTAGTCCCTGGTCAGAACCAAAGTCACAGCTTCCTCCTTTGACCTGGGCAGATGTGGAGGGAGCCAGATCACACTTGACCCTGCACCTGTGACTGTGCCCTTCCTGGTGCAGCTGACGCAGGTAGCCCATCTTCATGATGAACTACTTTTCCCACAGTTCAGACAGAGCCACTCAGACACAGCCCCTCTGCCCTGATAAATCTGTGTTTAGTGTGTGCCTGTTTCTTCCCCTGGGAAGGCAAGACTGGAGTGGAGCCATGACGTGTTACTTATGGCAAAACACAAAAGTGGGGCTGAGGATGCAGCACAGTAGTAAAGTGCTTGCCTAATACACACAAACCCCTAGATTCCAGAAATTCAAAATGTGGGGGGCGGGGTACCTCTATGAATGAACTATTCAAGTGGTTTTATACACCAAACCAATAGCCAACATCAAACTAAATGGAGAGAAACTCAAAGCGTTTCCTCTAAAATCAGGAACAAGACAAGGCTGTCCACTCTCTCCATACCTTTTCAAGTACAATACTGAAGAGGTATTTTGGAGGATATTTCTCATTCAAAGCACCACAAACTCCATTGAAGTTATCTGATTTTCTCTCCCCTAGAAATGATCAATGTGAGTACCTTTTTGGCCATGGATAGGACCTCAAGTCCACTTTCCCTCCTCTATTCTGGGTCCTTTGCCTCCCTTGAGTTTGTGCAGGTATTGCGTATTTCTTCCTCAACCCAGGAATGGTGCAATTGGGTATTATTCAATTTCTATGAGAAAGCATCTTCAAAAAATGGTGCTGGTACAACTGGATTGGGACGTGCAGATGATTGCAGACAGATCCATATCTGTCACTATGCACAAAAGTTAAGTCCAAATGGATCAAAGATCTCAACATAAATCCAGCTACAATGAACCTCCTAGAAGAAAAAGTCTGTGGCACCCTTGAAAAATTGGTACAGGAGACCGTTTTCTGAACATAACACCAGTAGCTCAAACATTG